AAAAAAAAAAAAAAAAAGGAAGCATTACGAAGAAGGGGGTTAATCCCGGTGTTTCAGGTCCAAACACTTGGACTCGAGTGATCTTGAGAAATTTCCCTTTGAGAAGGGCCAGGAAGCCATGTTAACAGCATGGTCCCTTTCTCTTTTTTTTTTGAGTAAGAGTCTCACTCTGTCACCCAGGCTAGAATGCAGTGGCATGTTCACAGCCACCATGGCCTCATCTCATCCTGTGGGGCTCAGGCAACCCTTCCGCCTTGGCCTTCAAAGTGCTGGGACAACAGGCACATTGCCACCATGCCCAGCTAATTTTTAAAAATTTATTGTAATATGAGGTCTCGCCAAGTTGCCCAGGCTGGGTCTTGAACCCCTAGGCGCAGGCCGTCCTCTTGCCTCCACCTCCCAAAATGCTGGGATTACAGGTGTGAGCCACCGCGCCTGGCTTCTCTCTTTTACCAGAGTAGGCTATACTGTCTTTACTTTGTAAACTTTCAAAAATTATACCAGTAACAGCTGCACAGAGTGCAGAAAAGAACATTAAAATGGAATTAAACATTTCCTGCCCATCCACCCATGTTGCCATACTCCGACCGTAACGGCCTTCAAACCCTCCCATTTTCCTTGTTTTAGTGTAATTCTGACTAATGTGCTGCAAGATCTGTGGATTCCCTGCGTCAAAGATGAAGCGAGCTCACACTTCCCTACCTATGTTAACAGTTATGTTCTTTTTAATCGATTAGTTTCTATTTTAACTCATGTAATGCTCTTAGTGTTCTGGCAGCTTTAGAAGGAAAGTCTTGAATCCTCACTCCAAGAGAAGAAATTGGCGCTCGCAGGCGACCTTCCACCTGTTCCATCCCTAGGTCCCACGCCTCTTTGGTTTTTGTTTCTCCGTCAGTCCACTCAGGTTTGATTTCTACTCCACTCAGTTCCTCCAATCGTCAGTGACCTCCTGGCTTGCACAGGCTGTGACTAGTCTTCAGCCGTCTTATTTTACCTCCAGGCAGCATCTGGCCACTTCCTCTTTTTTCTTTTTCTTTTCTTTGAGTTGGAGTCTCACTCTGTCACCCAGACTGGAGTGCAGTGGCCGCCCCACCTGCTGGGCTCCGGCGATCCTTCCACCTCAGCCTTCCGAGTAGCCGGAATGACAGGCGAGCGCTACCACGCCCGGCTGATTTTTTGATTCATTGTAGAGATGAGGTCTCGCCGCCCAGGCGGGTCTCGAACCCGCGGGCTCAGGCCATCCACTCACTTCAGCCTCCCAAAGGCGCGGGATTACAGGCTGAGCCACTGAGCCGGCTACTTCCTCTTTTGGTTTCTGCAACCTGCCATTTCCCACCACTCTGGTGACACTTCAGGCCGCTCCAGGGGCTGCTCCTCCTCCATCTGCCCTGTAGTTGTTGGGGTGCCCAACATGTCCCTCCCGGGTCTCCTCTTCACGCTGCACACCCTTTAAGAGACTTTGCCCATGGCTGTAGTTGCTGGGTCATGCTGCTCCAACCACAAGGGCGAGGGAGGAATGCCATGTGGGCAGCAGATTTGCCTTCTGGGTGTCTCCCCTTGGACGTCCTGGGAGCACTCGCGTTCTGACATTCCCTCCCTAAGTTGGCAATGGCACCCTTATCCCCCTCCATGTCAAAACAATCTCCAGTGGTAGCACGCGCCTGTCGTTCTGGCTGCTTGGAAGGCTGAGGCAGAAGGATCGCCGGAGCCCAGCAGGTGGAGGCTGTGGTGGCCAGGAGCGGCCACTGCACTCCAGTCTGGGCGACACAGTAACACTTCAACACACATACAAAAAACAAAAAACAAAAGCAAAAACAAAAACAAAAAAACCCCAATCTCCAAATCCCACCAGGCCCTTGTCATTTCCTGCATCAATGACTCCAACAATCTTTCCACCGACCTCCCTGCCTCCAGTGTTGTCCTTCCCAGTCCATTCTTTATCCTGCTGTCAGGATGATCTTCCGAAAATGCAAATCTGGATGTGTCACCCTTCATTTCTTCAAAGGCATCCCTATGCCTTTAGGATAAAGTTCAAACTCCTAGCATATTTAAGAGCCCCAGGTATGGTGGCTCACGCCTGTGATCCTAGCACTTTGGGAGGCTGAGGCTGGAGGATTCCTTGAGGCCAGGAGTTCGAGGCTGCAGTGAGCTGTGATTGTGCCATGGCACTCCAGTCTGGGCACGACGACCTGGCTCTGCCTGCCTCTCTAGCCTATAATAAATTTGCCTTCTCTCTCCTCCCTTCTTTTCCTGAGCCACGCCTACCTACCCTTACACTCGGGTCACCTAAGGATGCCTTCTTCCTACCTCCACCTTTTCCCCAGGCTGTTAGAACTCTCCTTTCTTCCACAGTGCCTCTTACCACACTTGTATTTCTGGAAGTATTGTCTGGTTATTTTTCTCCCACAATGGAGTGTGAGCTCCATAAAGATAAGACTGCAACCTTGTCTCTGCAGCCCCTGTGTCTGCTTCAGTGCCTGGCCCTGCTAAATATCTGATGAATGAATTGACCATACCTGCAACTCCAGGCTCTCAGTGTGTGGCCTCCTGATGAGAAAGGAGGCACTCTCATCCCAGACAGGGGCTGAGCTCTGGGAAACAGTCTGTTGGGGGTGAGGGGTGATGATCAGTGGTTACACTCCCTCCTCTGCTCCTCATCCCTCCCGTCCTTAACCCTGCAGCCCTTTCCAATACCTTGGTTTTGTGAGAAGTATCCCCCACGGTGAGAGTAGCATAAGGGCTGGGAGGCTTGATGCCTTTTCGGAGCTGGAAAGAGAATATAGCATGTTAGTCTTTTTTTCTCAAGTGGGAGTCTCACTGTATTGCCCAGGCTGGAGTGCAGCGGCACGCTCAAGGCCACCACAGCCTCGACCTGCTGGGCTCAGGAGATCCTTCCACCTCAGCCTTCCAGGTAGCTGGAACTACAGGCATATGTCACCACACCCAGGTAATTTTTGATTTATTGTAGAGACTGGGTCTCACCTTGTTGCCCAGGCTGGTCTCGAACCCGCAGGCTCAGGCAATCCGCTTGCCTCGGCCTCCCAAGTGCTGGGATTACAGACTGAGCCACCGAGCCCAGCCACATGTTAGTCTTAAATGTGGACCTAGTTAGGCAGATCCCCCCTTGCAAATGATGTCCACAGCTGGCAGCCACGTCTACATGACTTGACAGCCACTACCCTTGGGGCCTTGCACAGACAGTTCTTCCCACCCCCAGCAGCACCCCTAGAAAGAGGGGGACCGTTTACTATTCCAAATATACCAGGAGGTGGAGGGAGGGCCCAGGGGCCGCAGGGGACGGGGAGCAGATCTCACCGGCAGGTCTTCTGCCCGCTCCAGGTAGACGGACAGTAGGGCTGCTGCCAGTTCCGCACTCTTCTGCGTCTGAATCAAACTGTTCACCTGTAGCACCTGTGGGAGGGCACAGGCTGGGGAGTGGTGACTAACCCCTGGGGCTTGGCAGGCCTGGAACCCTGAGAAGAGTTCACTCTGCCCGGCCCTGGGTCCCTTCCTTCCTCCCATCTCCCACCTCACCTCCTCTAACTCAGCAGCAGTGGGCCGGGGGGTGAGACGCTCCAGACGCAAGTGCAGGCGGCCCGACGGGACGTCCTCCAGAGTCAGCCACTGTGGAAGCCGGCAAAGTGAAGATGGGGATAGAGGGACCAAGGAACTGGGAGGATGGGGCTTGGGCAAGATCAGGAGGGACTGGTGATTCTAATCCTGTGCTCACCTCATCCAGGAAGCCGCTGTTTAAGACAGTGGTCAGGCTCACTTTACACCTGTAGAGGAGAAAGGCGAAGACAGGTAGATGGTCAGGACACCTGTCTGTCTGCCCGGGGCCAGCCTGTAGCCTAAAGAGGCCCACCGTCTGCCCACCTGGACTCCCACCTTCTCACCTGCCCAGAAAGTCATCCTTGTCCAAGTCCTTGTCAAAGACTTCAACCTCTAGCTCTTGGCCTGGAACTGATGTGACAATCACCTAGTGGGAGAAAACAGTGCAGACAAAAGGGGATTCTTTCTTCCTCCCGGATGACCAGCGCCCCCACTCAGCTGAACCCCAGAGGCCTCTGGACCACTGCTCGAAACTCGGGGGAAAGAATAGGGAAGAACCGGAAGAGTCCCAACCACTCGGCTCTGACCTCAAAAGCCTCATTCCAGCGAGGATTGAGATCTTCCCGGACAACACGGCTCCGGAAGCTTCGTCCTGCCAGCTTTAGTTTGACGTAGGGGTCCGACTTGCCCTTCACCAGTCCCCCCAAGAAACGGTCTTTGGCAATCAGGTCCTGGGCTTCTAATACGTGGATCCGAAGTACACTCTGCAAGAGTGACAGATGGGGTCCCAGATGGCAGTCAGAGAGTGAGACCTGTTAAAACAGCCAACACAGGCTGTGCTCTGGGTAGGCAAACAGACCAGTCTGTTCCAGATGCAGGCTCACCTCGGTCCCAAACTGGCTGTCAGGAGTCGTGTGACAGGGTCGAGGTGGGGCATCCACGCTGCTGCCCCTCTGGGGGCTCTCACTATCCGTGTCCCAGGCCCCCGGAGTACCAGGCACAGTGGGGAAGCAAATTTCTGACGAGTCCAAGTACAAGACCTGGGAAGGGTTGTGCGAGGGCCGAGTCAGAGCGTTAGCCGCCAGCAGGCAAGGCGTGGGGAGCAGAGCGGAGGCTCTCGGGGAAACCCGTCCCAGTGGCTGGGCTCATCCCTCGAGGGTTCCCTCCACATCGTCCCTGGCTCACTCGTCTGAGCCATCCGCCATTACCGTCACCAATCCGACCTGCAGACTCTTGTGTGTGTTCTGCCCAGTGCTCCTACGTGCACTAACTCATCACTCTCAAGGGCTCTCCTTCCCCACTCCTAGCACCAAGGAATCCACAGGCCTCTCCGTGCCCCCAGCACCCCCTCCGTTTCCATACCCTCATGACCAGTTTCATGTAGAGCCTGGAGTTGGCGCCAGAGCTGCTGAGCTGGAACCACTGGTCCAGGGTGAGCTCAGGGGCTGTCAGGAGGCGAGCCAGAGGCAGCATCAGGGCCCCTAAAGTCAGGGCCCGGGAGTCATCCTTCACCTGTAGGTCCAGGAGGGAATACAGCCAAGGGATCAGGGAAGAGGGAGGCAGTTATACGTAGCTCCAGCTTCATCCCTCTCTGCACCAATCACGAATCTTTTTTTTTTTTTGAGTTGAAGTCTCACTCTGTTGCCTAGACTGGAGTGCAGTGGCATGCTCCCGGCCACCACAGCCTCGACCTGCTGGGCTCTGGCGATCCTTCTGCCTCAGCCTACCAAGTAGCCAGAAATACAGGCATGCGCTACCATGCCCAGCTAATTTTTTGTTTTATTGTAGAGATGAGGTCTCGCCTGCCCAGGCAGGTCTCGAACCTTCGGGCTCAGGCAATCTACTCACTTCAGCCTCCCAAAGGCGCGGGATTACAGGCTGAGCCACTGAGCCCAGCTCTGGCTAATTTTTGATTGATTGTAGAGACGAGGTCTCGCCAAGTTGCCCGGGTGGGTCTCAAACCTGCGAGCTCAGGCAATCCACTCACCTTGGCCTCCCAAAGTGCTGGGATTATAGGCTAAGCCACCAAGTCCAGCCCAATCACAAATCTTTTGTTCCACTTGGAGCCATCTTTTTATGTCCTCTGCCCACTCCACCTTTATACATTTTGTTTGTTGTTTTTCGAGATGGAGTCTTACTATGTTGCCCCAGGCTGGTCTCAAACTCCTAACTCAAGCGATCTTCTAACCTCAGCCTCCCATGTAGCTGGGACTAGAGGTGTGAGCCACAACACCCAGCTCTACCTTTGCACATTCTGTCTCCACTACTTACAAAGTTCTCATTCCCCTCTCTCTTCCTATTTATATACTACTTATCCTTCAAGGCCCAGGCAAAATCTTACTTGCTTTATAGAATCTCTCTAGTTACTTCAGCCTCTGCACCTTTCTCTGGCCATTCTTAGTGCTGCACTATGGATATTTTAGTCCCACTAGCTCATATTTAATTGTCCTTGAATGATTTTGTTTTTACATTTAAAAACACTTTTTTTGAGATGGGGTTTCATATGTAACCTGGGCTGGTTTCAATCTCCTGGGTTCAAGTGATCCTTCTCCTCAGCCTTCTGAACTAGGAGTCACTGCGCCTTGTTTCTTGAATAACTTTATATATGTGTCTTGTCAATGAAACTGGCCACAAAGTTCTGTGAGGGTAGATACTATGTTTCATGCTTTTTCTTTTCTTTATAGAGATGGGATCTTGTCGTGTTGTCCAGGCTGATCTCAAACTTCCAGCCTCAGGCAGTCCTCCCACCTCACCTCCCAAAGTGCTGAGATTACAGGCATGAGCAACCATGCAGGGTCATGCTTTTCTATGACCTTTAAAATGCTAGGTATTAATGGTTTTATTGGGACATTTACATACCATAAAATCACTCCTTTTAAGCATATACCCAGTGATAAAACATGACTCCAGAGCTGTGTGTGGTGGCTCACGCCTGTAATCCTAGCACTTTGGGAGGCAGAGGAGAGAGGATTACCTGAGTACCCAGGGGTTCAAGACCAGCCTGGGTCACATGGCGAGACTGCCTCACTATAATAAATCAAAAAATTAGTCGGGCTTGGTGGCGTACACTGTGGTTCCAGCTACTTGGAAGACTGAGGCAGAAGGATTGCCTGAGCCCAGCAGGTCAAGGCTACAGTGACCATAAGCATGCCACTGCACTTCAGCCTGAGTGACAGTGAGACTCCAATTCAAAAAAAAAAAGGGATCAAAGGAGAGAAAAAATGGCACAGACCCAGGAAGACAGAATGGGGTACTCAGCTGGGGAGGACTAGGTGGTGACCTCACCTGCACATCAAGCTCCTGGCTTCGAGGGTCTTGTAGGAAGAACCGGAAAGCTTCCTCCCATGCCGGGCAGCTGGTGTTGTAGACAGCCTGGAGACGTGGAGGAGGGGTGAAGGGCCTGCACTGCAGCACCATTCCCATCTCTCCAGAAAACCCTGCACTTTCAGGCATCTACAGGGGGGACTTCATCCCATGGGCAGGCCTCCTCCGCCTGACACGCACAATGACATCCTGGCCCTCACCTTGCTCTCCTGAGTCACATCCTGAACTGACAGTTGCACCATGGGATTGGGTTCCTTGTTGCCCTTCTTCAGCTGTGGGGAGCAGAGTTCAGAGATCACCATCTTGGGTGCTTTTGTTTTGTGAAGGAAGGTGGGATCTCATGGGAATCTTTTCCTGGACGTGGATCTGGTCCCTTCCTGGGAACCCTCGTGTCACACGTCGCTGCTTCTGGAGCAGAGCAGGCAGGGGCATCTGCGTTCTCAGCAGGGAGGGTGAGGCTGCATCCCGGGCCCCCCGTGCACCAGCCACACTCACAGGAAGATCCTGGGCCCGGTCCAGGTAGACAACCAAGATGGCGGCTGAGGGGGGCTCTGGTCGAGAGGACACTCCCCGATTCCACTGCAGAACCTGGGGCAGGTGGTAGTGGTCAGACCTTGGTCTACCCACTCCCTTGCACCTCCAGCAACCTGCTTCTCCCTTGCTGGCTTTCTGTCTCCCAAGGGGCTTACCTGTTCCAGTTTTTCCGCATCTGGCAACAGGGACAGCCATTCCAGCCTCAGGTGAACTTGGCCTTGCCCACCTTGTAGAGCGAACCACTAGAGGAAGAGGCAGAGGAAAGCAAGGTGGGGTCTAGAGGTCAGGACCACCGGGTCCCCACCTATGTGGCGACTGTCGTCTGCCCAAATGGTGAGAGTACCCTCACTTGCCCTTCCCCCAACTTACGTCATCCAGCACACCAGCCTGTAACACCTTCCCTACATCCAGCTTCATTCTGGGGGGCAGGGAGGGGAGAGGGTAGTGAGAGGGAGAAAGGGGAGAAAGGAGGGAAAGGGGCAGCGTAGTCATGGGCAGCCTGTCGCCGGCCCTCCACTCTCCCACCCAGAAACGACAGGCAGGTCTCAGCCTCCCTTCTCCTTACTCTCAGGGCATGTCCACTTGTGTGCATGAACACGGGTAGAGGTGGGAAGGTTGGGAAGGAAAATGACACCTGACTGCCAGGCCCAGAAACGACACTAGTGACCTCTAAGACCTGGGGCGCATCGGGCTGCCAGGCCCAGAAATGACACTAGTGGCCTCTAAGACCTGGGGGGCATCGGGACCATAGAGTCCTAACCCGGGCAGTCTCACCTGCCCAGGAAGTCATCTTTATCTGGGTCCTTGTCAAACACCTCCACTTCAATCTCCTGCCCCGGGACCTCGTGGACCATCACCTGGGGGACGCAGAGGGATGAGGGTTCATCAGCATCATTCTCATAACCCCCGGGGCCTCTCACGTCGCACAGCCCAGTTCCTCAGCTCTCCCACCTCGTAGGTCTCTCCCCACTGGGGGTTGAGTTCCTCATCGATGACACGACTGCAGAATGTCTGGGTGCCCAAACGCACAAGGGCGTAGGGGTCAGACTTGCCCTCAATCAGGCCCTTCACGTATTTGTCCTTGGAACTCAGCCCCCGAGCAGCCAGCAGGTGAACCCGAATGATGCCCTGCGGGGAGGAATCAGATGGTGAGAAGCTAAGGAGCCAGCACAGGGTCCCGCGAGAAGCACCTCTCTAGTGCAGGGGAGGCCATACCCTGGGCAGAGGGGAACGCAACTGGGCCACATCGTGAAGGTCAGGCACCAGCGGCACCAGGAGTCGGTTGGGCAACACCAGGAAAGCAGCGATGGAGTCCATGATCATGGTGTCAGACAGGGAGCTGGGTGGAGGAGTAGAAAGGGGTGGCTATGGCCCAAGTTCCAGTTTTCCTCCATCCCCAACTACCGATTTTATTTACTTTTTTTTTTGAGTTGGAGTCTCACTCTGTCGCCCAGACTGGCGTGCAGTGGCCGCTTCCAGCCACCACAGTCTCGACCTGCTGGGCTCTGGCGATCCTTCCGCCTCAGCCTTCCAAGTAGCTGGAACTACAGGCGCGCGCTACCACACCCGGCAAATTTTTTGATTTATTGTAGAGAGGAGGTCTCGCCAAGTTGCCCAGGCGGGTCTCGAACCCACGGGCTCAGGCAGTCCACTCACCTCAGCCTCCCAAAGGCGCAGGATTACAGGCTGAGCCACCGAGCCCAGCTTGATTTTATTTACTTATTTTTATCTTTTTATTTTTTATTTTTGTTTTATTTGTTTTTGTTTTTTTGAGTTGGAGTCTCACTCTGTTGTCCAGACTGGAGTGCAGTGGCCGCTCCCGGCCACTGCAGCCTCGACCTGCTGGGCTCCAGCGATCCTTCTGCCTCAGCCTTCCAAGTAGCTGGAACTACAGGCGTGCGCTACTGTGCATGGCTAATTTTTTTATTTATTGTAGATATGAGGTCTCGCCAGGTTGCCCAGGTGGGTATCAAACCCCCAGGCTCAGAAAATCCACTTGCCTCGGTCTCCCAAAGTGCTGGGGCTACAGGTGCGCCACCATGCTTGGCAAAATTTTTTTTTTTTTTTTTTTGGAGTTGGAGTCTTACTCCATCACTCAGGCTGGGGTGCAGCGGCATGCTCACAGCCACCCCAGTGTCGATCTGTTGTGCTCTGGCGATCCTTCCGCCTCCACCTTCCAATAGCTGAAACTACAGGTGTGCGCTACCATGCCCAGCTAATTTTTATTTATTACAGAGATGAGGTCTCGCCAAGCTGCCTGGGTTGGTCTTGAACCCACAGGCTCAGGCAATCCATTCGCCTTGGTCTCCCAAAGTGCCAGGATTACCAAGCCTGGCCTTGTTGGTTTATTTTTTATTTTTTTTTTTTATAAATAAGGTCTCACTAAGTTGCTCAGGCTGCTCTCCAATCCCTGGGCTCAGGCATTCCTCTCGCCTCCACCTCCCAAAGCAGTGGGATTACAGACATGAGCCACCGTGCCTGGCCTATTTTATTTTTTTTAGAGACAGGGTCTTGTTCTGTAGCCCAGGCTGGAGGGCAGTGGCACAATCATAGTTCATTGCAGTCTCAAACTCCTGGAATCAAGCAATCCTCCTGTTTCCTGCCTCCAGTCAAGGAGCTGGGGCTACAGGTGAGGGCTACCAGGCCCAGGCCAGTTACTTTTTTTCATTTGTAGAGATGGGGTCTCATTATGTCTTGAACTCATGGCCTCAAGTGATCCTCCCACCTTGGTCTCCCAAACTCGCTGGGATTACAGCTGTGAGCTACTGTGCCTAATCCTCAGCCCCAACTGTTTCCCACAGCCAAGGGAAACCTAAAGCTCTCAGGAAACGCTTTTGTGAAAGTCCCCTTGGCTACACCCCACCTTCTGATGTCTCCCTTCTTCATTGCCATGCCCAGCTCTCCTTTCTCTCTTTTTCTTTCCTTCTTGAATCTTCTTTCAAGAAAAATCTCCTTTGTTTTTATGCCGTCTTCAGCTCTCTTCATTCCCTACCAAAAGGCACACTCTCAAGCCAGGCGTGGTAGTTCACATCTGTAACCCCAGCACTTTGGGAGGCAGAAATGAGAGGACTGCCTGAGTCTAGGGTTTGAGATCAGCCTGGGCAACTTGGCCAGACCTCGTTTCTACAATAAATCAAAAAATTAGCCGGGTGTGGTGGCACATGCCTGTGGTTCCGGCTACTTGGAAGGCTGAGGTAGAAGGATCACTTGGTCAAGGCTGCGGTGGCTGTGAGTGAGCCACTGCACTTCATCCTGGAAAAACATTAAGACTCCACCCTCAAAAAAAAAAAAAAAAAAGGGCACATTCCCCCCACAAAAGAAAAAATCACATTATTTCAGGGGTATCTGATTTTCCCTCTAAGATGAAACTCCTAGAGTACACAAGCTGCATCTTCTACTGCTCTGTGTCTCTTAAGCCCCAAACCAGGGCTGGAACACTCAGCAGGTACTCAGTAAGGCCTTGATACCTAAGTCCTGGGATATCCAGCAGGTTGGTCATCCCTGTCCAGTTGATGTCCAGGGTCTGGAAGGAAAGACGGGGGGGGGTCCGGACTGATCCTATGGGGCATGGCCACACCAGACCAGCAGCTGCCAGACCCCTCGGCCCTCTTGTCAGTTCCCTTCTCCCTCCCCATAGCTATCCACCCTCCCCCTCCTAGTCCTCCTCTGCCCCCCCCCACTGGCCCACAAGGTTTTCTCTTACCGGGCGTCGGATAAAGAACATTGACACGGCCCCCACAATGGGAAGGTCCCCCATAAGCGGCTCGAGAATCACCCGCAGGACACCATGTAGCTGGGGCAAGAGGAGAAGATTGAATGAAGGCTTTCCCTGAAGGTCCCCTGTCCTCCCAGGCTTCCCCAGTCCTGGTTTTTCCAAGCTACCACTTCCCCATCTCCATGAAAACTTAGGACTCCAGCCTGGGTGTGGTGGCTCATGCCCATAATCCCAGCACTTTGGGAAGTGGAGGTGAGAAGACTGCCTGAGCCCACGGGTTTGAGACCAGCCTGGGCAACATGATGACCTCATCTCCAAAATAAATCAAAACTTTAGCCGGACATGGTGGCACGCACCTATGGTTCCAGCTACTTGGAAGGCTGAGGCAGAAGGATCACTGAGACCAGCAGGTCAAGGCTGCAGTGGCTGTGAGCATGCCACTGCACTCCAGCCTGGGCAACAGAGGGAAACTCCTACTCCAAAAAGAAACGAAAGCTTAAGACTTCCTACAAAGTGGGTCCCCAACGTCTGCCCCACCTGCATGCCCTTGACTCCTGCTTTGCAGAAATATTTCTTCACTTCCACATCAATCTGCACATCACCTACGTAGCTGGGGGTTGACAGAGAAGAGAACAAGAGGGTCATCACTAGGCTGAGGGAGGTGATGGGGGAGTGAAATGGCCCGAGCTGACCAGGAAGAGTGGTGAGCAGCGTTACCTGATGTTCAAGTCTAGCAGGATCTGCTCTTTCCTCTGTCCAGGGTGAACCTTGACTCCTATGACCCGCAGTGGCTGGGGAGAGGGGAACTCTTGAGGAAAAGTGGAGGGGAAGCAACGGGGAGCTCGGTCCCCTCTGGGCCACCCACCCTCGTGACCACATCGCCTCCCTTCTGGTACCTTCTCTCCCACACATACCTTTTCACCCAGTTCCACCCGTGTAAACGTGAACGTCTGCAGATGCGGGTTAGACCCCCGAACAGCGGGGGCCACAGTTTCAGCCAGAAGCTTCTCCATATACTGGCCCAGGAAGGGCCAGACCTGGGCCACAATCTGGGAGGAAAAGGAGACGGTCACAGGAAAGCCGGGTCCCCTCTTGAGCCAAGTCCCTTCAGAACCCTGCCCACAGAGAGCACTGCGGGACCAGGCTGGGGCTAGACCTGAGGGCTGCAGGCTCCCAAGAGAGGGGCAAACCCCGTTCTCCTCTCACGAGGAACAAAACTCAAAGCACTCCTCACCTTATTTAGCCATTCCGCCTTTTCCACATCTGGAAAGCTGACCTGGAGGCAGAGGCAGAAAGAGCGATGAGCACGCCCTCTGCACTGGGCAGGAAGCTTGCAGAGAGGACGCAAGAGGACGCGGAGGGACTCCTCACTCCGGTGGGGCGGCGGAGAGTCTGGGGGCTGCAGCTTCCACCGAGGGGGCGGGCAAGGCGCAGGCCTCGCAAAGTTGCTTTGGGAATAGCTCAGGGATGGGAGCTGCCAGTTGCTGGGCAGAGGGGAGGCAGGAGGTGGAGAAAGGCACATTCCTCCTGGAGGGGGAGGTCCAGTCGGAGTTTGAACGAATCCTGGGATTTGCCTGGTCTTCCCTTCTCCCTCGAGACTGGGGCTTCCAGGGCAAGAAAGCGAAGAGGGAAACAAGTCCCTGGGTCAGGGAGGGACCAGAAGGCCTAAGTAGGCTCTAGTTTTGTGTCCTTTTTTCCTTCCTTCCTTCTTTTCTCTCTCCGACTCCTTCACGGGAAAGAAGAACACTCGTGCTTTGTGCCGGGGGGAAGGAGATCAGCTTCCACGATGGCAGCAGGAGGCCCAGCCAGCTGCTGCCTGGGCTGCAGGTCCCCGAGGACCGCTCCCCCCTTCCCCTCCTCGGCACAGGGCCTGGGAAGCAAGGCCGTGCTGCCGAGAGTCCCCTCTGGTTCTTCCCTTCGGCCGTTCTCCCGCGGGACCGGCACCTGCGCGGGGAGCGGCCGGGTAACGGCCCAGCCCGGCGAGGCTGGGAGGAGGCAGCCGCCCCGGCGTCCGCCAGAGGGGTCTCGGCCCCAGCGCTGAGCGCAGCCCACGGCCCGGAAAAGGGTGGGGCCG